AGAGTGGGAATATACCATTTTCTCAAAATCAAAACTCATCGTCTTATATCTCATTGCAGGTAATACTTTTTCAAAATGCAGTAACTAAGATATCCTTATAATGAGATTTTTAATTATTGTTATTTTTATCTGTACAATAGAGCTATCAACTAAACACCGCTGTAGATATCCTACAGAATCCACCACCAACATTTGGACAGTCACAAGTATATTAATATTCTTGAAATATTATTTCTTATTAAGATCTCCTTGAAGAAATGAAATATTTCTTTTTGAGTTTTGATATAATTATTTTATCCACTCAACAGAGTCCATAACAAAACATGATGGTAGATATCCAGCAGAGTCCAACACAAATATTTGGACAATCACATGTAAACTAATATTCTTGAAATGTTATTCTTTGTTAGATCCTACATCCCCCCGTACTAAACTAGTTAAGTCATATATTTTGCAAGCACAATTGACTTTTGATGAAAGTAGTAACCACTCTCTCATGAACTTCTGGAAAAATATTTATGCTTCTACAAGGTTTTTTTCGATATTTATGCATTTAGTTATTGTTCTCCAATAATATGTTATTTGTTTTAATTTGAAAAAGAAATGATTATTATGCACCCAAACTCTACACAAGATGAAATATTTATGTTGGTATTTTTTCTGTTTAACATGATATGATTCCTAATATTTCTCTCTCGCTCTCTCTCAAGCCTGTCTCGAGTCCACTAGCAACTATGGGTACACACTTGAACAATCCCTCAGAATTGGGGTTGGAGTATGCCTATTCAAATTCGAATATCAACTTGAGCAATAACAACAACATCAATCTCATCATTCAACAAAATGAGCATTATTTATTTCAAAGTGATGCAATAACTCCTAATATTCATGGATTTAACTATCCTAGGGAGGTTAGTTCAAAGCTATATTCTTATTACTATCGACTAATTAACTTTATTTGTTTGCTTATAACTTCATTTTTTATTATATTATTCACTCAAATACTCACTTTAAATGTTTTATCACAATGATTAGGAGAATGCAATGGGAAGCAATGGATACTTTGCTGACACAACAAATGAGAATGATGCATGAGATTGGGATGATGTTTTCTTCACTGAAGCTTTTAATGGTGAAGACTTTCAAAATTTAGATTGATCAATTAAAGACAAAGAAAAACTTTTAAAACCTAGTTCCTTTATCTTTGATACATTTAAAAGAGCAGAAACTCATGATATTTTAGCTTTTCATATGCTTATTTCAGTATGCAACATATCATCTTAAATGTTTGTGTGGTGGCCTATGGATATATTTGTTCAAATGAATAAGAACAATAGATATAGTTGTAATCAATCAGAATAGGCTGCAAAAAATCCTTGAGACTTTTATGGCACACTTGGTCAGGAGTACTGGTTCTAGGGGTGACAATAGGCTGATGATCGAGTAGGATATGATCTATATCGTCTTGAGTTCCAAATTTAGGTCGAAAGGAAGTTTTTTGGCAATTAGCCTCAAGCATAAGCAAGACATTTTAGAAGGAATAGAATTGTTCCATATATTATTAATAAAGCTATCTCTTTGTTTGTGCTCTACAATATTCTCCCAGGCAGAAACATTAGAGTATTGGTCATCTTCTTAATAGGTCCATATTGTAGAGTCATCAAGACCAGAATGTTTTTGAGTTTAGAGTTTCTGCTAGGGAATATTTGAGCGAGAGAAACATTTGCCTACCATGTTACCTTGTCATATGCTTTTCAATAAGCTCCAAAGTACCTTTAGGGGGAAAGAATATAAATAGGCAAAGATTGAATGATACTTTTAATTAACCTTTGCCTACCATGTTACCTTGCCAAGTAACCATGCCATCAAAGTAACCGAGGTAAGTAACAGGCTTTCCAGATCAAAACCTGTAGAAGATTTTTTGTGTATCTGTTCAATCCCTTTTTTCTCTTTACACTTCTTTTTCCTATTCACTATTTCTAGTATTCTATATTTGCATCCTTCTTTTACTTCTCGTATGATCATGTGTGGCTGAGGTACTCTTTCTTTCCACAATGCTTTATCTTTTTTGCTTTCCAAATCCCATAAATCACTGCTGCCAGCACTGCCCATAGGAAAGCTCTTTTTATCTTGCCTATTGCACTTCTTGCCAATCTCCCCCATATCCTTGGCAGATTTGTCTTTTGCATTGTTACCCCTAACCATTGTTGTATTTCCAGCAAACATTTTTGTGCATAAACGCATTCAAAAAATTGATGTTCTGTTGTCTTCTCATGCTCTCCACATAATAAACAACTAGTTTCTTGTTAATGTTTCATCTTTGTCAGCCTCACCCTTGTCAACAACCTTCCATGCATTCCAATCCAGCTTATAAATCCATGCTTAGGTATAGTAGTTCTACTCCACACTCCCCTCTACCATGGCCATTCTGATCCTGCCCAACTTAGCCATTTGTACCCACTTCTAATACTACACTTACCTGATTCTTTAACCAACCATTGCCACCATCCCTCATTCTTTATGTATATGTTATTAACCCATTTTCCCAATAAATTTTCTTCCTTTTCTGCCACATTCCAAAATATTTTGCAATTGCTGCCTGGTTCCATTTGACACAGTCATTTATCCCCAGCCCAGCTTCTCGTTTCGGCAAAGGTGGTCTATTTGTTGTTGCTTTACCACTCCATATATAGTTCCTGCAAATTGTTCTGATATCCTTCAATACTTTTTTAGGCAATATAAATATCGTTGCCCAATATGAGTGCATATGCATCAAAACTGAGTTAACCAATTACACTCTGCCTGCATATGACAGATTTCTTCACCCCCATGTTCTCTCTCTACTTGCCATTCTCTCAACTAGTACCTCACAATCTCCTAGCAATAATATTTTTGCTGAAAGTGGTACACCCAAATATCTAAAAGGTAGCTTTCCTTTTGCATATCCAGACACCTCACAGAGATCATTCAATTCTTGTTGTTCCATGTTTGCTGAAAATATGTTTGACTTAGCTGCATTATTTGTTAATCCTGAAGACCCCAAAAATGATTTCATTTCTCTCAACATAAGCAATACCGATTGGTAGTCCCTTTTACTAAAAATTAGCATATTATCTGCAAAGCATAAGTGATTCAGCTTCATTCCTTTGCATTTTGTGTGATACGGAAAACCTTTTTCTTCTGACACCCAAATCATGATCCTGCTGAAATATTCCATACATATTACAAACAATAAGGGCGAAATTGGATCCCCTTGCCTCAGCCCCCTTTGTCCTTCTATGCTTCCAAACATTCCCCCATTTAGTTCAATGCTATATCTTGTTATTTTCACACATTCCATTATTCTTTCTTTAAACACATGTGGGGAATTAAGAGCATGTAACATTTATTCCACAAAACCCCATTCAACACTGTCATATGCCTTTCTTAGGTCAATTTTTATTAAGCAACTCCTTCTAGTATTCTTTCTATTATATAATCTTACCAAGTCTTGACATACTAAAATATTTTGCACTATTGATCTACCCGCCACAAAAGCACTTTGATTGCTCGATATTATCACATGCAGCACTTTCCTCAATCTGTTACATAACATTTTTGAAATTGTCTTGTATATAGTATTGCAACATGATATTGGTCTGTAATCCCCCACCGATTCAGCATGACTTCTTTTAGGTATCAATGTATTTGTTGTATCATTCATCCCAGTAAGCATCTTTTTAGTTCTAAAGAACTCCATCACTCCCTTCACCACATCTTTACCGACATTCTCCCAATTATCCTTGAATAATTGACCTCCTTCTTTGTGAACTTTGCTGCTAATTGTTCTCATTGTTCCCTATTAACCGGTGATCCTTCACACATGCTTTCTTTCCTTGTTTGACTGTCCTAGCAGCTCACTTTAGTATTCCAAAAAAAGCCTTGCTAATTTCTTCTATGCCTTCTTGCTTTTCACCATGATTATCCTTTACTCCAAAAATTCGGTTGGTGTTCCTTCTTACCTTCATGTAGTTTCCATATTGTTTTGATATTTCCAGTTCTTGTTTAATCAACTTGTTATCTGTTGGATCTCTGCTCAATTTCATCTGACATTTTTCATAGTTCCTCCTTTGCCTTCTTAGACTTACCCTCTATGTCTCCAAAATTTTCCCTGTTTATAGTCAGTAACACCTTTTTCAACCTATTTGAAACATATTCCTTCCTCCTATTTTTTCCCCCAGCTAGCCTTCACCTTTTCTTTATATTTTGGTGCCATTCTCCACATATTAAAGTACCTGAATTTATTCTTCCCATTTATACACTACTCTTCCAAGCTTATGATTGCAGGACAATGATCATATGTTCCTTCATGCATAAAGTGTGTTTCGGACGCTGGTAATTTGGTCATCCTATCACTATTAACTAGTACCCTGTCTATTTCACTCCAAACTCTGTCTTCCCCTCTTTGTTTATTATTCCATGTAAAGCATGAGACTGATGATTTGAGGTCCTGAACTTCACATTCCTCCACACATTGTCAAAATTTTCTTATTTTTGCCATTTTCACAGGTCGTCCTATCCTTTCATCCATATTCAACATCCAATTAAAATCTCACATTATAGCCCAAGCCCCATTTATGCTCCCTCTTAACCCTTTTATGTCCCTCCATAATGTTCTTCTCATTGCTTGGTAATTGAAACCACATACCATTGTAATATGAAATATCCTTCTCATTCCCCTATGTTACTTTACAGTAAATTACTTTTCATGTTACTAACTTCACATCCACATTGTATATCTCTGTCTTCAACAATATCCAAATTCTCCCCCCATAGTGAGCTGCTAGATTAGTTTTAAACGATCATGTCCTACATAGATTAAGAGTCACATTACTTGCTTTCACTCTCTTAATCCTAGTCTCCAGGAAACCAAACAAGCTGATTTTTGAGATATATAGGAAAACCTACATTTCCTTTTGTTTATCAACTCTGTTTAATCCCCTAATATTCCAGAACCCTATTTATCCATTCAGGATGGGGTCTTCCCCATCCTTCTCCTTCCTTTGCTCATTTCCTATCGCATTATTCCCTGCTGTTATCTCCTTACTTCCTTGCCCTATCTCTCCCAACACATTGAAAGAGTTAGTTGTCTCAGTTTCCCTTATTTGAGTCTTCCCCCTTTGTATCTCTATTCTACTAGATTTCCTGGCATTTCTTATTTCGTCCACTTTATCAACCCTTTGTTGTCCTTCTCCATTTCTCACTTGTTCTCCTTTGTGTTGCTTCTCATTCTCCTTTAGTTGTTTTCTACACTCACTTATATCATGCCCAAAATTCTTACATTTTGTGCATAATATCATTTTCCATTCATATTCAACCTGCTGATGCACTACCTTCCTTATTTCATTCTCAAACACTATTACTTTGGGATATTCCTTATTTAGAGGCATCTCTATCAATACTCTTGCAAACGTTAATCTATCTTTTCGTGTTGTTGCTCTGTCTTCTCTAAATGGATGTCCTATCAACCCCGCTATCTTGGTTAGAGAATTCTTTCCCCAATATTTTATATCTAACCCTACCAATCTCACCCAAATTGGCACTTTTTTCACCTTCTCTTTTGTTACCTCTATATCCAGTTCCCATGGTTTCACTATTACTGGCTTTTTGTCGAACATTTGCACACCTTTTTCCACTGCTATTCCCCTATTCTCATCATTGTTGAAACGCACTATAAACACACCCTATTTACCTGAGCTACTTTATCTATCCCAAAAATTTTTCAGATTCTCCTAAGATTTCACTCCATAACTATCGACGGTAGGTTCGATCCTAATGCATAACAAACCACAACTGTTTCCCAATATTTCACTTCCTCTTGCATATCCTCACTTGTTATCTTAACATTGAGACTAGGGTTTACTTCCCCATTCAGATCCAGTCCTTTTATCTGCGATGTTGTCCCTACAATTCTACTCCATGTCACTCCTTCACTTGGCCTTTCTATAGATCTCACTTTCGATGTCTCTTCCTCCACCATATCTGCCCATGTACTCTTCCCTGATGTTGTTGCTCTGCTTCCAGTACTTTTTGGAGTATTAATGGTATTACTTGTCGTAATTGGCCATTTCATTTTTTTCACCTAACCCTCGACCCCCCACCCCACTAGCCCCCTGACACCCCACCCCCACACCCTTAAAAAAATTAATATTATTATTTTAAAACAATCAACTTTAAATTTTAATTTTTCACTTTTACCCTCAAACAGCCCCCTCACAAACCACCACCACTACCACCAGCACAAAAAAAAATTAAGCTTGTTTTTTAAGAAAAAATCAACTTCAAAAATTATTTTCTACTCTTGTAAAAAGTAAAAGATATTTCTCAAAAATATTACTTTTCCACAAAAAATTTTCTGCTCACCAATCAAACATGAAAAAATAAGTCAAATATCTACATGTATTCCAGGAAAACATTTTCCTTCATACGAAACACACCCTTAATAGAATTAGTATTGCTGCTACTAAAAATAACTACATCATCAGCATAAGTAAGATACATAATTTGAGGACCATTTTTATGCATATATAGAGAGAGGGATGAAATTCTTATGCTTCGATAAAGATTTTCATGCTAAAGTATTTTATGATATATCGAAGGTCTTAACCCATTTTAAAACCTATTTATTCGATACAAGATGCACATTATTTATCCATGTTAAAGTTAATAACTTATGGTAGTATATATAGCTTAAAGGCTCAAGAATTAGCTTTTACTGATTGATGGTAAGATGATGGATTTAAGTTATACCATTAAAAAGGGTAAGACATCAGGTTAAAGTCTCGGTGCATCATGATGATAACATATTGGATTTAAGTCTCACTGATTCATGGTCTCAGCTGTTTTTATGGATAAGATATTGAGTTTGAAATTTAAAAATGCACCATATTGATGATATAATGATGGCTACGACTAAATAGTATTTTTTGGTGAAAACTAGTCATGAAACACGTCTCATTGAAATCGCTTTATTCCCTAAAAGTGAATGTAGTAGTAGTGCATGTCTGAAGAGGACAAGTGGTCTAATGATCCACATGAATATTGAATGAGGTACTAAGCTATCATAATTTTATATGCTCAGATGATTGTCTTCCATTCATGAATATTAGAACTTTGATAGATACTCATAAATGTGGAATCGAGTACTAAGCTATCATAAAAAAATTGATATGCATGCTCAAATGATTGTATTCCATTCATGAGAAATGAAAACTTTTGAATAATGCTAAAAATACAAATCTATTCTTTGTATTGAATGAGGCGTATGCCCACCATGATATGTGTGGAAAGGGTCTGTAACCTTTGATCGCGACGTGATATCACCAAGAATGTCTTTGGACATACATATGTTACTGAAAAGTTCCCTAATTTTATAGTATATCAGAAGTTTGCTAATTTTGATATTCTGATCATTTGGGGCATCTTGGATTTATAATAATGAGATAGATTATAGAGATTCAATTGGATATCCATTAAAGAATCTAAAAATTCTTTTCAATGGTGAATTTTCTTGTACTTCTTATCATCAAGTCAAATTAATTGTGAGACCATTATCAATGAAAGTTAAAATTTATTTCTTTTAGATTTCTCATGTTTACAGATATATATCACTATATTTTCCATTCTCTCCTAATTGGTAGGTTATTGGGAGGTTTGAATTAACGTTGTTTTTTTTAAAAAAAAATTGTAGTTAAATTTCTTTCATGATTTTATAAGTGAGTCAAGAGAATTAACTAAGATTTGAGTTTTTATCATCATGATTTCGCACATTCTCTATCGAAAAATGAGAAACCTAACATCCATTTAAATTAAGTAACAAAATCAGAGATTGAAAATAACTTTTGATTCAAGTAAAAACTATAAATTGGTGTTATTTATTCTTGAAGATGCAATATGTGTTCAGTAAAAATCTTGACTCATTTATTTTAAAATGATTATGTTAATTTATAAAATTTACCATGAAATTTTTATAAATAGACGCAACGAAAATCAAAGAATTTTCTTTTTATAATTGAGATCTCAAATTCAAGATAAAAGAATTAGACAAATTGTATTTAAAAAGAATTATTTATATTGTTTATGGTAAAATAACTAGCTTGAGCAAGATGAATATAAATCCACTCATTAAATTCTTTGTTGGTTATTTTTTAAAATTTTGCATACCCTTCGTAAAAAATGTGCTCTGTCACTGAGAAAAGTCAGTCTTCCCTTCATAATGATCTTTCTTGACACTTACTATTCAATAAAAATTACTTTTAAATTCAAATTAATTAAATTTAGGAGAAAAAAAATCAATGCAAGCATAAAAGTAGTATTTAATGGTATTAATAGTAATTAATACTATTAATTACTTTGGTAAATAGTTTCAACTTCACTAAATTTAAGAAATGATAATCATATATATTAATTTAGATGAAAATATTTTATGATTCTACTTACACAATTAATATGAAAATTTCAAGTAATTTTCAATGTTGACAGTATCAATTTTTTATACTTCATACACCCCACAAGTTTCAAACATCTATGAATGAGTCAAGTAACCTATTAAAAGTTAATTATGTTTTTATTAATCAACTAATTTTTTTATAAATAAATATATGTTATTCAAAATTTAATTATCAAAATACCAATAAAAAAAGTTACAATTTGTGCATCTCATTATTAATTGTACTTGATAAAATTAATTAAAATTTAAAAATATGCCTTTTGAAGTTAATAGATTTACAAATTGCTTAATGGATTTGTATTAAAGACAAGGAGAGAGTAGATGAAGAATTTATAGCAACTAATTTACGCTATAGTGATTTACTATTTACTTTAGTATTTACAAAATTTTAAACATACTCCAAAAGTAAAACCAAACAACAAAAAAGAATACTAATGAAATGCATATTATTACTCTTAAAGTTCTCTTAATTTCTACAAGTTTTTTCTTCTTTCCTCGCTGAATATCTCTCTGTTTCTTTTTTCTATTCATTTACGTTGTTCCTGATCTACTTCTCTTTTGAGGAGGGTTAAAAAGTAATTAGTTTGTGAAAGTTTTGGCAAATGAACTTTTTATGCTTGTAGTTTCAATTGAGTAATGAAAATTTGTGTGAATTAGATTGTTTCATTTTTCTTAGCAATTATTCTTGATTTCTACATGCATGTTGTGTTCGTTATCAACTAATGTCTTTTTGATGCGTTTTGTGTTTGTTTATCAACTAATTTGAGGCAGAGGCGAACCCATGATTTAAGAAGTCTGGGTGCACCAATAATATTTAAGCATATATAAGCGAAGCGAAATTTTGTAATAAAAAAATCAAAAAAAAGAGTGTCGTTGGCTTGGATCAAACCTAGGTTTTCAAGGAGGTATTTCTCCACTTCAACCAACAGATTAAAAATAGTTCAATGGTTATCAAGTGTGATAGTGTTTCTCTACCAGTTTCTCAATATATATATATATATATATATTATGTGTCCAAGGACTTTTGTTCTTCTTGGCATCTGTTATTTTGGCACAAATCTTTTTGGTTCTTAAAAAGAAACAGTTCAAGAAGGTTCAATTGGCCGAAATGAATTTCTAGATTCACAGATTTATCGATATCAAGTACGTAAAAAGAACGAAATTCTTGTTGGCGATTATTTATGATAAAAAATGAAATTATGAAAACTCCTTTGTCTTACTTATACTCTTCTTCAAAATCTACATTACATACTCTTTTTCTACGAGATGCTGGGAATCCCATGTACCACATAGTATGTAGATTTTGAAGAAGAGTATTTGACTTTCATTTATTTTCATTTAGTTTTTTTTTAATTGGAGTAGTGTAACTATGTTACCATTGCCAGATTTCACTGCCATAAAACGCATCAATAGTTTTCTATTCTAAATAGAAAGAAAGTCAAATTTGTCTAAATACTAGAAATAAGGAAGCGGGGGATAAATGCGGGGAAGAAAAAATTCTAGGAGGGATTATTTGTCTTCCTAGTCTTCGACACAAGAAAGGGGTATAGAAAAATCCTTTTTTCTTGTGTCGAAACGATTATATATATATATATATATATATATATATATATATATATACAAGTAATTTTTTCCGAATCGGCCCCTGATTTGAGATCTATAATGCACCTTATGCATTTAAATAAATAAATAATATGTTTGTAAAAATGTAAAACTAAATCTCGGGAAAGAAGGTGTGGAGACAACAAAAATAAAAAGGGAAAATTACATGAGATGACAAACATCCTTAGTTATTAGTTAATAAGGGTATAGTTTGATTTATTTAGTGACAGTAAATATAGTTTCAAATTTTTGTAATAGTTACTGAAGTTCAACAAATATAAAATTTTATACAATTTTTTTTTATCTCTCCTATCTTCATCTATATCTTCTCCTAAAATCATTATTCCGCTGGTGAATTTCAAATTCCACATCTCCCCTCAATTGTGTTTTCACATTTTGCATGTTACCGCCAAAATCATGAGTGAATCTATTCTTTCTATTTTCAAAAATTGTATATATAATGTTTGTTAGTTTTTTGATTTTTTTTCTAAGAATTTTCTTCTCCTTATTAGAGTAACAACAATATGGATGATTCATCTCCATCTGTGAGGATTACTAGATGTACATCATTCTTTGTCAAAGTCGTGGACAATCCACAAATCGTTTTCAATTGGATTAACTCAAGATTTTGGGGTTAATGCAGAATATGTGGCAAAAGCTAAACAGGTTCAAGTTGAAAAATCTATAGAAGAATTGAGATCTAAGAAAAAAACCAATTGAAATTTGAGAAGTCATCAACATTGAGAAGGCTAGCGACATTAAAATTGTTGAAGGAGGAAATATGAGAAAATCGTAAACAGTGATTCAGAGGACGTTGAATCTACTTCATCAGATCTGGATAAACCTGAAGAATATCAGGAACATCATGTGTTATCTTAAAAAAAATTCTAGATAGATATTATATATATCGTTACGTATGTGTAAATATACAAAAAATATTCTGATGAAATCATATTTGTATATAGACATACGTATATCAAATATTTCACGTTGTCCAGCTTTTTCCTATTTTATTGTTTTTA